TGTGTGTGTGTGTGTGTGTGTGTGTGTGTGTGTGTGTGTGTGTGTGTGTGTGTGTGTGGGTATGTGTGTGGGTGGATATGTGAATGTGTGTGTGTGTCCAAATGCATTTTTTCCCGTCCTTTCACCTCGAGAACCACAAAAGCTAGGAGGCTAAAGTTTTAGTATAGCGTTTCCTGTCAACGTGGAAATTGCAAATTTAAGTTCAATCTTCCCATGCGCTTGGGCATCGTGTACGGCTCCCTGAAAATTTTGGTGGGACATTTACTATCTCGGGGACCAGAAGAACCAGGAAGATAAAATTCTAGGAGGATACCTGTGCAGGGACCTCAAAAACTCGAACCTGCCCCCAAGTATTTCGAAGTCTAGAGTACGACCAAATGAAAGTTTTGGTGTTAAAATTACTCGGAAGCTAGAAAACTAAAAGGTTAAATTTTTGGAAGGATATCTCCATACAAGGTTTTCAAATTCCGCTTTTACGCACGCTTACGTCGCACGTGCCAGTGCATAAAACCTTAATGGAAATTTCGCAGCTTAGGAACCAGACATTTTGGCCATTTTAGCACACACCGAAGTGTATAGCAGGTAAACGTCCATGCGACGCAACTGCGCAATACATGATCGCACCGTGCACCCTGGTGTGTGCCTTTATTTATCAAATGTTCAAACCAGATGAAACGGAGGCTGTTCAGGGCCACAGAACTTGGGTGGAGCACACGAGTTTCGCGGCCTCTGAACAGTGCCGGAACGACGATGCGCCAGAGTATCAGTTGTCACGACGAGATGATCGCGTCGTATGTAGATTCTGCTATTCAACACCATTACAACAGGTTACTGACATTATTTGCTGCGACAATCTGCTGTATTTCAGCTAGCCACGTGTACTAGGATACGATAATTTGTGAATGCGTTGAGCCCGCATACCAACAAGTTTTTATTCAACTAAGAACAAAAAATACTCAGTACACATAGTGAGTCTTTCTAACTGGTACGAAGATGGAGTCAGACTGGAACACATTAAAAAATCGCTTATGTGAAAGTAGAGTTAGAATATTATTGGAAGGAAGCGGGGAAAGGAGGAAATTAGAAGGGGATAGGGAATAGATTACTGTAATGACTCATGCAACAGAAAAGACGGAATTTTACGTAAAAACACTGAAATTATTCATTTATATTCAAGGGAAATATAAGATCACATAGATCGTTCTTGCAGATGCTCGTCACCGGAATGCCAGAAATACGCATCGAAGCCCGAGCTAATGTCTTTACCTGTGCGCAGTGGAAGTGATGCATCGGACGATGAATGGATTCGCTGTGTAGATGATGTAACACTTGAAGAATCATTCACAAGTGACTGCGGTCGAAAAAGAACAGAAGCTGAACTGACAACAGCGGTGCTCATCGCGCAACACAGTAAAAGCGCTCACACGGCAATTATGCCTGACAAACACATGCAAAATATACACAGTGGTACTAACGGGGTGACCGTTTACGCCGAGGAAATAGCGGAAGATGGTACTGAAAAAGTGGAGAACCCAGTGGATTTCTCGGCAGTTTTTGAGCCAACAACAACCAATTTTCGTACGGGAGAGATGAAAGAAAAAGAGGAGCAGCATCCCTGTTTAGAAAAAACCGTATGTACCAGGAATGACGGTTTCGTTTCGCGTCGGGCATATTCTTTGGAAGATTTGGACAATGTTCCCGGAATAGTTACACATTCTCCAAAAAAGCTTCAAATCTTCAAATCAAAAATTATCAATGTTCCGGGAGATCGTCATTTTGTTGAAATCAGCAATTTACCGGATAGCAAGCATAATGCGGTATTTTACGAAACCGATTGCAAACAAGTAACTGAAGGATGCGAATTAAAGGAGTGTTATGAAACTTGGTTAGATAAAGGAAGTGCTCATTCTGGTCAGTTTGAACCGGTGCACTCATCAAGACTGCCGGGATACTATGGATTCGCATTCGATGCTAGGGATTTGAATTCGCCTGCTAAAACACAACTTGAATCTGTTGGATCAAATACAGCTCTGTCTGTTATTGGAAAATACAAATTTGGTTAGTCCTATAAACCAGCAGTGATAGAAGAATTTAGCTTTCCATGAAGTGTAATTAGAATTATCGCACAGCATGACCAAGTTCCTTTTACTTTTGCGCTGCAATTGCGACGTGAAACGCGTATTGTCGAAATGTGTGTGTATATGTATGTGTGAGTGTACGTGTATGTTTGTTTTTGGATGGGTGTGTTTGTTTGTTCAACGTGCATTTTATCCGGAGTTTTCTATTAGAAACATTAGAAAGCCGATTATGAAAATATTCCAGGAACACTTACGACCTTAGCAACATAAAATCAACATCCACTTATCTCGGGATTTCAAATTTGACAAGTGAAAGTTCTGGTATAGAAATTTACCAACCCGGAGACCAGAAAGCATGGACTGCTGAACTAGTGAGAGGATGCTTTCTACTCATACGCTACCAAACTAGTTTAAACTTAGCTTCAAAAACGCCTTGGTTCTGTATTACGGATGTGTAAAAATGCTGGTAGAAAAGTCTTTAACTCGGGGATCATACAAAATGGAAAGCTGGAAATTTAGGAGGGTATTCCTTTTCATTTGCATCCCAGAGATTTGAATTCAGCTTTTGCAGTCGCTTAAGTATTGCATACAAAAACATGAAGGTTTTGGCAGGAAACTTGTTAGCTTAGAAAGAAGGAGAAATAGAAAGCTGAAAAGTTTAGGAAAGTGCTTCCTCTAAAATTTTCAGCTTTCTAGTTCTCACTGTGCAAATTTAAACACTGCGCTTAACTGCGCTTAGGCCAATTTCGGGAAACGTGAATGTATCCACGAGGAATATCCTACCTCGGATGCCTGGCAGAACAGAAAGCTGAAAATTTGGGATGACGATTTTTATGAACGTGCAACCCTGGAATTTCAGTTTTAGCATTCATCTCCTCTTCCGTCTTGCGCACGCACTCGTGAATTTTCACGTGGAAGATTTTCAGTTCAGGAATCAGAGAAGCAGAAATCTAAAATTACAGGAAAATGTGTTCTATTCATGTGCAGTCCCACAAATTCAAGTGTCACGAAGCCAACGTTTTAAGTACGAAGATGAGAAATTTTAAAAATTCGTAGCTCTTGTACCGGGCGGTATTTCGGCGATTTTTGCATATAAAAGCAGTGAACATTCTTAACAGCACATATCTGCTCAAAAAAAGAACTGCACAAAAAGTGCGATCGCACTCGCTAGCCTGGTGCTCGCCGCTATTTGTTGCATAACTGATGTTGTGCAAAAACACACCTTATTGAGAAGGTGCCCATGTTTATGTGCATGCTCGGATATCTCCAAGTTTTTAACTTGACAATTAGACAATGCAGAAATGAAATTTTGTGATTCTGTTCCTTGAACACATGCGATCTAATAAATGTGGAAGTATCTTTCAAGTGCTGTTATGCTTCAGTTACAAACAGATGAGGCTGAAACTGCAGTATTGTTCCTATTCTTTTACGTTGAAAGCCAAAGAATCCAGGAAGCCAAGTTTTTCCGAGTGATACCCGAATAATTTCTGGGTTTTTAACCTAGCAGTTAAACGAGCAATGGGGATGCAGCTTTTTAAGCTTTTTCCCTCATGCTAGGATGTAAAACTGATCAAAAAATGCATGCTCGCATCGACTGCATATGTGCGGAGCTATTTATTTTTTTTAAATGGGCAGTTTTGGATTTTTTAGGAAAAAAACAGCAGCTATGGAGTTTTTCATCAGTCATTAATTAAATAAATTAAACAAACGCAAATACTGAAAAATATTATGATGCGCTTTTAGAAACGGAACAAATAAAGGAGCCGCCATGTTCCACAGTGGCGTTATGGGATGACTGCTGTGAGTATGCGCAACGAATCAGTGAGGTTGCCCGAATATGGCTTCGAAATCCGACGGATAGCTCCGAAGTTCAGGAAATAATGGCCAGCCAAGTTTTAACCACATGTCTCAATGAGTATGTTTCATTATAAAATACGGCAACCAATTTATATTTGCCTAGTAATACCCAGGATGTTTGCGACTCTGCTCTTTCATACGTGCTTGCTGAAAGCAAATGAATTTGCAGATAAAATTTATAGCTGAGCAGAGGAAATTTTTCCATTCGTTGAAAGTACTTGTCACTATATATACCACCATATGATGCAACGCACCCAAAGTAATTGAAGTAGTTGCTAGCTACAGGTTGGAAAACCGCACTATGAGCTGCAGCTAACAAATAAAATCAATGTACAAAGCAATCTTACTCAGGAGAACGGTAAAGGTGAGCAGCACTATCATCGTTATAGGAACGCTAAATTCATGCACGAAAAAGTGAAATAAATAGCAGTACAGCGAGGTCACGTACGGGTAGGAAGCTGACTTAAGCCATTAGCTTCTGGTCGTAATAACGCTTGTCGAAGAATTTACGATAATTTTACTAATTTCAGTGAGGATCGGGAGAAGCCAGCTGGCATTCCGGACAGTGAACGATCATCAGTCAGTGGTATGCACTACTCTTACTCAAGAATTTTAATTGTTTGAGTTTCTAAGATCATTAATGCCAGTCTCTTCAAAGCTTTTATTCAGTCTCTTCAAAGCATCATCGCTTTTCAGCCACCTTTGCTATCATAATTAGTCCGCACAATATGTTTTAAATTTATTGGTGAAACAAATCGCACCTATTCAAGCCTATTTTTATGCATTTTTTGCTGTGCAGCGCTGAAGCGCTACTACAGGGAGCAAAAACGCATATTGCCGAGAGGTTGCCTGTATGTGTGTGTCCGGAAGCGATTGAACTTTGTTACTCATTTCCAACTCAGCAACTAGAAAAGCTGGAAGGCAGAAATCTTAGAGGCATATTTCCATCCCACTTGTCACCTTCTATTTTAAGGTTATCACTCATACGCGCCTATATCCCGCGTACAAACCTCTTCCCAAAAAATATGCAAATTTCTTTGGCGGGAAACGATTTTGGAAACCAGATAAGGTAGAAAGCCGAAAATTTGCAGAGATATTCTTCACGCATATATGGTTAAGTAGTTGAAATTCAGCTTCCGCGCACACTCGTATAGCGAATGCGACGAAGTCAGATTTTGCGGTTGGCTCTATGTCAACGCGAAAATTAGTGGGGAAACAATAGCGGAATTTTAGTTAAAATATTTATCGTCCGAATAGAAAATCATGTAGCTAAATTGAGTTTCGATCTGCACTTTTCCGCGACTTACGATAATTCGAAAATATTTGTAGCGAAAAGGTTGTATCGCTTACCGGACAACCTGCAAAGCTGAAACTTTGCGAGGATATTTTATATTCATCCATGGTCTTAATTCGGCCTGGAAATGAAATTCCTTATACGCAGACATGACTAATACTCGGTTTTATCGCAAACTGAAAAGCGAGTGCATTTTGCCAACTTAGTAGTCCTCTTTTCGATTTCTTTCAAATTTGCATTTTTTCGATGAACAACTTGCAAACTGTGGATTCATGCAACCCCGTAATGCAACACTACAATCCCAAACTGCAAGCAGGAAAACGCTAAAACACAGCCGGCGTATGTCCACGTTTTAATTTTAATCCAAAAACCAATCATGTTTTTAACGATCTGAAAGTTGCAAGTGCAGCACAGAAACGCATGATCGCACCGGCAAGCTTGGTGCGTTCGAGTCCAGGGTCTTATAAGCTTCTATGTATTTCAGTACATTTATGCAAATGCAAACCCAGGCTGGTACGTGCCAGACGAGCCGGTGCGATCAAGCGTTTTTGTAACAAGCTTGAAGTAATTAGGTTAACTACATGAACAGTTGTTTCTTCACACCTACCTTGTGCGCTCAATACCGTAATCATCGTAAATTTTGCATAAAAGGAAATAAACAATTTCTGTTTAGCGGTCATTTTTTGAAAGCGACCCAGCTGTTCAGTGAGTAATTTTCCCGTCAAAAACTTAAGTGTCCGTACACGAGGACCACGCGCACATGAAGGCTGAATTTGAAGCCCTTAATTTTTATTTGGACGGGGAATATTCCCCTAAAATCTCAGTTTTCCAGCTTTCTGGTTCCCGCAGCCTTTTTCTTGCTAAAAAAGTTTCACGGGGCGGTACGTAAGAACCGCGCATGCCTGTGGGATGAATTTGATAGCTTAAAGTCGTACACGGGCTGGGAACATCCCTTGAAAATTTCAGCCTCCCAACCTTACTAGTTCCTGGGTTAGCCATTTTTCCGTCAGAAAATTTCACGGGGCCGTACGTGAGAACCGCATATGACTGAGGTCTGAATTTGGCAGGTTTATGTTATACTTATGCTGGAACATTCCTTGAAAATTTCAGCCTCCCAGCTTCCCTAGTCCTCAAGCTAGCGATTTTCGCGCCAGGAACCCTCATGGGGCCGTACGCGGGAACCACGCACACCTGTGGCCGGATTTGAAATCTTTGAGTTATGTGTGGACGGGAACATAACCTCAAAATTTCAGCTTCCTAGCTCTTCTCGTTCTCCAGTTAGCAATTTTCCTGCCAAAATTTTCACCCTCTCGTACGCGGGGCCCAGACTTGCGTGAGAGTTGGTGCCGCAGTCCTGGGGTGGCACTTGGCCAGGGAACCCACTCGCAAAATTTCGGCGCTGGAGTTTGTTTTGTTGCCGAGTTGAAATAATTGGACAGATGAACAAACATACATATACACAAACAAACACAAGCACACACATACACACACAGAAAGGGTCGTCGCAATATGCGTTTTTATGCGTTTTTACATATATGTAAATTGCAAAAACGCATATTGGGAAGAGGCTGTGTGTGTG